TTGAAATTTTTTTGAGACAACATCCCCCACACGCCATATTAAGTACAACGTGATAATTTTTGCTCCTATTAACAAATCAATTATGACATATAGGCTTCCTTGAATCAATTTGGAACGATTTCTAGTACGGATTAAGTCTCCCTATGCGTTAATAGCGCGAAAAATATCGCGCGTTAATGGTTCCAATTTGGTCAAAATGGTAATCTTTAGACCTCCATATCTTTACAAAAAATGATCACAGGTAAAATATCTTTTCAATTTTAAGCTCAGAACAACAATAGCTTCCGATTGATGAAAAAAAAATCCGTCAAAAATTGCTAGTTAAAAAGTCAAAATTTGTCTGAAGAAAAAAAAACCCACCCGGAGCGCAAATATTCCCTTACTTTCGTTACGAAAGACGGATTAAAATTTATTAGCATGTCAAAACTCGGCGGCTTTTCTCAATTGATGTTTTTTAAATTTTTTGTTGTTCCGACATTAGTAACGGAATGTTTGTGCTCGGAGTGGGTTTTTTTTTCTTCAGACAAATTTCGACTTTTTAACTAGCTATTTTTGATGATTTTTTTTTATCATTTTAAAAGTATTGTTGTCCTGAGCTTGAATTTGAAAAGATATTTTACTTGTGATCATTATTTGTTGAGTTATGGGGGTTTAAAAGTTGACACTTTGGCCAATTGGTGACAATTAACGCGCGATATATTTCGCGCTATTAACGCATAAGCGGAGATTTAATCCGTCTTAGAAATTGTTTCAAAGTGGTTGAAAGAAGCTGATTTGCCATAAATATTTTGTTACAAGGAGCAAAGTCTAACCTTTTGTACTTTAACTGGCGTGTGGGGAGATCATTTTTGTTTTAAAAAAATTCACATTTCAGAAGTTTTTTTTCTTCATTTTATTACACGTAACTTTTTATGTTTTTACTGCTTTACTGCTCCATAAACTTTAAAAGGCAGTCGCAACACTCAGGGCTTCGCTCTGATACGAGCAGTTGTGTTTTCTTCTCAATAAGAGTGGATTCAAATTTGCTTATGATAACTGTAGGCCAATTTTATTGCTACTTGTTATCAGCGGTGTCTTCAAAAAACAATTAGGATCAGAAAAGCTATTTTGGTCATGAAAAAAATTAAAAACACCACCGCTTCATGTTGTCTACAGAAGTAGGAGGTCAATAGTAGATGCAATATTAAATATTTTACAAGACGTTATTGTTAGATTTACAAACAACGTTGTTGTATCGAGTAAATTTTAGTAATTCAAAAGTCTTCAAAACGGTAGATATTAAAGATTTCAAAAAACTCCTGCATACGTTTTCAGTTATCCGATCCATGAAACTTTGAAATCTTACCTCACAAACATAAATTATTATAAAAGACTTAACATTTTTAAATCAGAACAACGAGAAAATTTTTTTTTTTAATTTTAACATTTTTTAATCAAAACAACGAGAAATAATTTTTTTTTTCATTTAAAAGGTTGGCCTGATATTTGCATAAGCGGCCGTGTGACAATTTTTGCACATAATATAAACATTTTTACATCATTTTGTGACTATTCCCTAAACTGGAGTCAAGATTGGCGTAAAAATAAAAACCAACTGGACAGGAAACAAAAAATTAAAGAAAATAGTTATTTTTTTTGTAAATGCAAATTCCTTTTATGGTAAAATTTAAGCATCCACTTTCTAGGATCTATAAAATGGTCGTAAGCAAGATTATCAGAAAAAACGAAAAAAATTGTGTTGTAGTTTTTGATGAGAAGCTTTTTTAAGTAGCATATAATGTAACTTAATAAAAAAACTCTCATTGCTTACGACCAAAATGTATCACTACAAATTACTTTCAATCTTCAATTTTCATTTAGACCTTGTAAAGCGTAAAAAACCGGCTAAAATATGGAGTTTTGTTATGTGGACTAGCAAATAAAACAGAGGAGAATAAAAAAGATCGTAAAATTGCATTTTGCGCATTTGTTTCACTTTAAAAAAAACATGATTATTTACGAAAAATTAAAAAGGATTACAAAAACTTAATCAAGCAGCGAATTTTATGTCTATTAGTTGACTAAAATATCAACATCAATAGCATAATTTCAAATGAGTAGCAAAAAAATTGCGAACGGTCGAAAAAATTACAATGGTTAAATTAAGAGCAACTACTACAAAAATGAGAAAATGTTTCAATTCTTATCAAAATTGATAAAAGTTTTATAACTGAAGATATGCAACTAAAGGAAAATGATTTGTTGCATTTGATAAATTTTTTGAAAGGTTTATACATACTTAACAACAAACTTTTGGTGAGCTAAAATGATGAAATTAAAAACTGTTAGATTCAAATATTTCAGAATCAAGTAAATTACCGCTCTGAAATAGATGCATATACCATTTTCTTTGCTCTTGTTCCAGTGAAAACATGCATCGCACGGAAAAACTGCTAATTTTTACTTTGTTTTGAGGATCCCTTGAAATGCTAGCTGCCTTTAGACGTCCTTCCAAGTGTATTTACTGTAAAAAAAATGGAAACAAATTTGTGATTGTAGTTCAACGCGAGCGCGGGTAACTTATACGGTTGAGAATCAATCTAGTTCGAATTTGGGCAAGCTAATTGGTGTAATTGATACCCTTGTAAATTCAAAATGTATCACTTTATAGTTATAGATGCGTTTAGGGGTAGAACTGCATTAAGAAAAACAGTTTAGTGTTCAGAACAATACAAAAATTATTGCCGAGTTTTTTTTTCGTCGAAACCCAAAAAATATGTATATCGCGAGCGGAAAAACCTAATTCTAGATGTTACCTGGATTCGCATGATAAATCACATTCGAATTCAACCTCCCTCAAAAGTAAAATTATTGATTGGTATGTTCTGCTTCCATTACTGCCATTTCAGATACCTAAGATGAAATTATTATTATTTTAATGCATCTTTCACGTTTTATTGATTGGGTTTTTCATTTGAAATACTTTTTTTAAATCTCACAATTCTTTCTCTAATTGTTTAAACCCTCCATTATTTTCTTGTTAGGAATCAGAACCTGATTTTTTCTAAATTTGTCATTTGCTCATTTCCACTCTCTAATCTTATCGCTTCCGAAACAGGCAATTGCACTTTATCTTGATGAGCAAAAGTGATAGAGAGCTAACAAAGAGTCTCTTTTTTCTTTCTAGAATTCCTCGGGGCTATTGCAATTATCATGAGGTCTTTTTTGACAATGGGAGAAAAAACTCAAGGGAAATCATCGCGGTATCTCTTCAATTGTCATTTTGTATGCAATTTAGTCTTAAAAAAAACAAATTTATTTCAGATTGTGACAAAATTTTTTCCTGAGGCAATAATGAAACAAGAAAAGGTATTCTGAGAATATTCAAGCACAAATTGCAGTGGTTAAACCGCAAACTTAAAAGGAGAACCTTTCAGTAGAGTTTAACGTTTCGATAGAAATCATCTGGAAAGTTTTACCGTGATTTTAAATTCTTTAATTGTAGCTATTTTAGCATTTTTCGGTAACTTTTTCCCCATAAAGTTGAAAAAAAAGAAAATGAAAACGGCTTTTTTACATTATCCCCTCATATGATTTTTAAATACGTTTTACCGTGTAAATTCTAAATATTGGGTTAACAGAGACTGAAATGAAGACTTTAATTAAATGCAATTGTTTCATAAACTTACAAAAATTTCGCCAGAAAGTTTTCACGTTTCAGTGTGTTTTTACATGCTATTGGCTGAATGCGTGATATTTTGCAGTAGTGTTTGAAAAAAAACGTGTTTTCAGATTAGTTATTTTGTTCACCATAGAGAATTTCATTACATTATGACAACGTTCAGTTTTTTTTTTTTGAAGTTGAAATTTAAGAGCGGAAAAGTGCCCTATTTTTAATGAAAATTTATGCGCATTAAACAGAATGTGAGGTCTTTATGTGAGGTCATAACCTACTATAGTTGATGAAAATAAAAAACCTTTTTCATGACCAGGAAAAAGCACCGAAAATGGTACCCTTTTATTTCGCCCCATTGATCGATTGCTAATATTTTGGGAGGCAGAAAAGAAAATGAAAAGTTTCGATCGGTCGGCATGATTAAAAAGGTCGCCGCCCTTGTAGCTCCTCCTCTTTCCCACAATTCACTCAGTTTTCTTCTAAGCTCACTAAGTTCATTCTTTTTTGCTCGATGTAGAAAAAAATACTTACCAATTTCACTTCTTTGAAAAAATAATTGAGCTTCCTGTAAATAGCCAGCAGTTAACCGTCTTTTGACAACAATTACTTCGCATCTTGTAAAAAAAAAAAATTGATTGGAGCTAAAAGCTTTTTTCAATGGTTTTTTTCTATTGTGTTTTAAAAATATATAGAGTCGCAAGTCTCTTAACCATATTTCGCTGAATTTTTCCTCCAACCAGCAAAGTTAACTGCTATTTGAAAGTACGTCAGAACAGGAGGTGAGGACTTCACAGAGTTTGAAGTTCTTTCGCTTGAAATGGCATCAAAACAGCCTTTGAAGCAAAAGTAAATAGAATTTATTTCTTTTAATTGTCCTTAGACCTTAGGCTAAAAATACAAAGTAAAAACGAAGATAAGAAAAAATCGTCCATCAAAAAGCGTCAATCGAAAGAGTTTTAATTGTGTTTTTTAAAGAATTAAGTTGTGACCCTGAAAATAGATTTGTGAAGAATTGATAACATGAGAAGATTGATAGTAGCACAAATTAACGAAAAGCGTGCAAAATTACTGGTTGCTTTTCGGAATCAAACTCGAGAGAGCAGAGAGCAACCGTAGGAATAACTTCTGTCCAGTTGCGTGCCTAGGGGTGAGGAAGGGATGGTGGGGGGGGGGGGCTTTGGGGTTGGGACAATTATTGCCAAACACTGTCACTTTGTGGTTTCGGCAGAAATATAGTACATCAAAATGACTGGCCTAAATAACACAAAAATTTTTGAAACAACCCCCCCCCCCCTCCCCATCAAAAAAATTCTGCGTTCGCCACCACTTGTGCCTTTAACGTTACCTGTAGAAGTTCGTCGTTGGCTTTTCGGTCGAAGTGCCTCTCGCCTAATTCGACTACTTTGGACAGCAGGTTCTCCGGTTCATTCAACAGCTGTATCAGTTTTCCGATCATGTGCATGATGTGTAGGCTGTGAGCATGTAGCATGACATTGCTGTTTAAAGAGGATTTATTCACGTTCGCTATTTTGGAGAAGGAGGCCTGGATTTCGGGGTATCTCTCAAACAACCTGAAAAATTACAAAATTATCGCTGAAGTGGGTAGCGAATACAGGAAAAGGCGAGGAGAGGGCGGGGTTAAGGACGATTCCCATTTTTATGAATTCGACATCCTTACCTCGCGTACAAAAGGTTTGCTGGCAATATTATACCAAATCGATTTTTCGTTGATTAGCCCTAAAGGTAATTTAAAAGCGTCATTTATATTGTTATCAGGAGAAAGTGTTTTAAAAAGCAACAAAAATTGTATTTTGGAGAGCTCACGTCCTTTTGAGGAAATCCTATGACTACCCGGCTGTATTGCTTTCGGTATTGTCCGAGATTAATTGCCTCAGAATCGAATTCAAATTGAAAGGTTGTTCTGCCGAAAAAGAGAGTTTGACCTACAATTCTGTGTTGCTGGCTTTTCCAAAAAAAAAACATTTCAAAGTTTCTATCGATTGTCTTCTATTTTTAAAATCCAAAAATTTTCATTTGTGATCAAATTTTAACAGTTCTAAAATCCGCCCCTACTCTATTTAAATAACAAAACTGGTGAAATAAAAAACCGCAATTAAAAAAAGTTAACTCTATGAAAAACACAACTATCAATTGTGACAATCATTTCTCTGTCAAATTCAATCCAAGTTTTGCTTAACTCTATGTAAACAATGTTAACCCTTTGCAGGCATAACTCTATAAAATATATTTCATTCAATTTAGGAACTCCTGCTCTCTCCGTCCGTGGAATCCAATTGACTATGCTAATCTTTCTCAAATGACCATACTAGTAAACGCCAAGAGCCCAACAGTGAAACTATATAGATCTCTAGTATACACTTAAAACAGCGGGGCACTCTAGCATGGCATTAACGTGTCAAGCAGGTAATAAAACTGGCGAATTCAGTCTTATGACTTTTATTACAGGTGAACACGACTATAAAATATATTTGGTTACTTTCAACGGCGTAAAGATAGCCTCAAAACTTTTTGGCGCTGAGAAACTTTTTTCTTGCTTTTCAAAAAGAAAAACCATAGAACCTGTAATATTATAGGGCAAAATTTATTTGAGACACCCAACAATTTTACTGGTTACAGGAACAATTTGTTCTCACTGATCGAATTTTAAAATGATAGTGAAATTTTTTTCGCACCATGATGGAATTTTAGCTTAAACACTTATGAAACTTTAGCTGATAATGGTTGAAGCTTTAAAAATATATCTTCAAGCGACTCCATCGAATGTTCCATCAAACATTCTTTTGTCATACTTAATTTTGCAGAAAGACCTGAACACGCGTTATTTTGCACATATAATCCTAATTTCCTTGAATTCCTAGCCTCAGATGGTAGCTTCGAAGAGATTTACCAAGGCGAGAAGAAACATCTGAAGAAAGAAAAACTAATATCTTCTAATTTTATACATCATGTAAAAATCGTGTGAAAATCGTGCAAAATTTTTGAAAACTTTTGTCTGCTGAGATAATTTTGTGAAACAACATAAGAACTCTGATTAGCAATTAGAGCAGTTGATTGATTTAAGACAATAGTAAATTCGCCAGAAAATTACCAATATGAGGGAGAAACGACAATTCATATTAGAATAGCTGGTACATGCAACTGATACGTAACTGAGCAAAAAACGGGTTGCAACCGGGATTCCAACCCAGCATGTAGACACCCGCATCCAAGTTTAGGCGTAAATAATCGATTATAACGGATTATTATGATGATTTTTTGACAATTATAATCGATTATTATTACCAAATGCGATTTATAATTGATTATAATCGTGATATTTTCCAAGAGTTTATAATCTCTTATAATCGATTATAATTGATTATAATTGATTATAGTTCTTACTAAAAACCCTTAAAATCAATTATAATCGATTATAATCGTTTATTTTGCCAAAATTTTCCTGTATTCGAATTATATCTTATGGGTTATAATTTTTGTGTCAATAATAAAATCTCTAAAAGAGAGATCTCTTGAACACTTTGGTTCATCTGAACACAAAGTTTTACCACGAAAAAAAAATTTCATAGAGATCCTTTCATATGAGTGGAAAGGTTCTCGCAGTAGATGAAAAAAAAACTTTCCGAATCAAACATGAAACTAAATCAATTTGCTGATGTTTTGGTGTTGAAAAAAGCTTAAAATATGCATCTCAAAACAACTCTAATGGGGAAGAAATGAAAAAAAGAACAAATAAAATGAAAACTTTTAAAATTTGAATCAAGTGGAAAAATTTTAACAAGGCTGCTCGTATCAGGGCGATCCCCAAATGTTCCGACCTTTAAGGTTTATGGAGCAGTAATAACATAAGAAAATTAAATAAAATAAAAGAAAATGAAATTTTTTTTGTAAAATTTGAAATTTTTTAAAGAAAATTATCCCCCCACACGCCATATAAAGTACAAAAAGATAGATTTCGTTTCTTCTAACAAATCAATTATGGCAAATAAGCTTCGTTCAACCAATTTGGAACAATTTCTAAGACGGATTAAATCTCCGCTTACGCGTTAATAGCGCGAATTAAATCGCGCGTTAATTGTCCCAAGTTGGTCAAAATAGCCAAAATGGCAATCTTTAAACCCTCATAACTTTACGAAAAATGATCACAGGTGAAATACTTTTTCAAATTTAAGCTCAGGACAACAATACTTGTTGAATGAGGGCTATTTAAAAAGTCGAGATTTGTCTGAAGAAAAAAAACCCACCCGAGCACAAATATTCCTTACTTTCCTATCGAAAGTCGGAACAAAAATATTTTCTCATTTTTCATAGGAACCAACGCCCACAAAAAGCATAAAATATAAGCAATTTAGATGCAACTTCGAAGACAAAAATGGACAAACAAAAGGGATTATGATCAATTATATTCGATTATAAGGGATTTTGCGCAAAACTAATGAAATAGAAATTTGAAAAAAATATATGGATTATAATCAATTAAAATCGATTATAATTTTATCGAAAAATAGACAAATAAATAATCGATTATAATCGATTATAATCATTTATAATTTGATTTTAAAAAGAGAGATTATAATAGATTATTAATTGATTAAAACCGATTTTTTCTCAACTTTAGTAAGACTGGTACTAAAATCGTAATATAATCGATTGTTAACGCTTGAAACTGGATGCGGGCAGATACTTTAGCTACTAGTAGTCCCTGGAAAATAATCCAGTTCTAAATATGTACTATATTTACAACCCCTTTTTCTGAGGTCGACTTGAATCCAAACCCCATTGCTCAATTCAAAAATTACTGGAGCAATCGTCCATGCCGGACAGCTTACAAGTTAACGAAAACACAAACAGTATAACTAGAGGATTTAGATGATTTAAACGGTCGAAGTAAAAAATCCATGGACATTTATTTGCAGGGCTGTTCTTACTTTTTTCACAATTTTTTGGACGTTTATGTTGTCCAAAATAGAGTTCTTCGACTAAGTAAAGGTCTCTTTAGGGAAACTTACTCAATTAAAGAATTTATTTTTGATCCACATATTGCGTATCAAAGTTATAAACTTACTGCTGAGTTACACCTGACTAGAAAAGAAATTTTATTTACTTCAGAAAACTTGAAGTTAATAAAAAAAGTCGTACGATAATATTTCAAAGACTCTTTTTATTCCCTACCCAACTCCCAATTTTGTCAAAACTCCCCAGCAAAGTTCTTTATTCCTACATTTTTTCAAAGATTTTGAAAGTTCAAAATCTTGCATGATCAGGTTTGGTATCAGATTTCCAGAGATTTGCTTTGAAAAATTCATCAACTTTGAGTTATCATCTCAAATCTACATCAAAATCAAAGAATTTGAATATCTGCTGAAAAATCAACAATTTCCAATTTCTCATCGATTATTTACAAAAAATTCAGTTAACTTGATGAGAAGACTTGCAGAGATGCTACTTTTATTAATTTTTCTTCTTTTGTTACTTATATTGGCAATATTTCTTATTTTTACAGCAAACAACTTTTGGTCATTTATTTTTGCGATTGCTCTTGTGTATATTTTTACTTATTTGGAAGACTTAAGTCCTTGAAAGGTTCCTCTGATTGGAAACGACAACTTGAACAAAAATGAACATTTTTGTGATTGGAAACGACAATGTGTAAAATGGAGCTTTGTCTCCAATTGGACACGAGTTTTCTATAAGAATTCCATAAAAGAAAACTAAAATCTGATTGGACACGAGTACAATCCAAATAAGGAAAATCCATTCTGATTGGTTAAACCCACACATTCCAGTTGAAGGTACCCCTCTCTCTTAATTAAAAATCGTTTTATTTTCAACTTAACTACCGTCAACTACCTCCTCTCTCAGCTCTAAATACAATAATTTCAACTTAACCACCGTCAACTTTCTCCCTCTCAACTGTAAATCTTGTTTTTACTCATTAACTCAACTTATTGCTCAAAACGATCTTCTCAGTACAAAAAAAAACAACCTTATGTTCTCGGTGGAATTTTCGGCTGATTCAGTACAAATCCATGTGCGAGAAACAGTTTGTGGAGTTTTTCTGGCACGAATGGACATCCCAATCCAAGTCTGGCATATGGTGGAGGTGATGCGCAGGGATTTCAACGAACATCATATAACGCAAGTACCCCTACAGAGAATCCACTTGGAGAAATGTGGGAATGAACTACCCCGAAATTCCTGACTCTAGATATGTGGCTCAACCAATCGACGATTTCCTCTTTCCTTGGGAAGAGGGATCTGTGGACAACCCAATTACAATCGAAGAGGATGAGGGGTTCTCTGAGTCAAGAACTCCAGTCAGCGAACCACCAAGACAACCACCAGTGATGGAGGCAAGACCAGCTTTGCGCTCCATTGAGAACTTGCAAAGTTTTGAGAACTCAGCTGCTCGACAGCTCTTTGATTTGTAAATAAATTGGTTACTGTCTTGTGCTTTGTAATTTAATTTCTTTGCACCTACTAAATTTATTTTCAAGAGATAGGAACAAAGAGATCATAGAAAAGTTTATTAAGAAGTTTCAATGGTAAAACTTTG